GGGAATGATTGTGAATATCTCTAGAATCTTCATGCCTACTGAGAGTGAGGCTGACTAGTACTGAGACGAAGACCATGGTGTCCCCAAACAAAGTGCATAGCTCCACTTTTGTGGAGTTCCTGCACCCTTACCCCCACAAGTGTTGCATGCCGATGGTCAACCTCAGTTACAGTAATAACTGAGACAGCGGATATAGGGGTCCTGCTGTATTAACATGAATAATAGTTTTTGTGACTATTCAAGTTTGCTGGTAGATTTGGGACACTGGCAGGGTTGTTAACTAATATTTTCCCTCAGATATTTGTATGAAGAGGAATGGAAGGATTTCCACTTGTTTTTCCAACAGCAAAAATATTTCTCAGGCAACTCTAGTACTAAGGGAGTAAATTAACACTAAGTAGTATTCCCTCAAATAATCAGGTCATATCCCAGAGGATCAGAGAGTGCAAATCAATGCAACTAAATCTGTGGTACTATTGGCATGAATGCCTTACAGGAGGGTTTTTACAATCGCAATTAAATATACAAAGCACCATGGCAAATACTGCTAATAAAACAGTGCCTTCTGTATGATCTGAGCAGATGCAGCATTAATTCAAAGTGTGCATTGCCACTGATAAGAACATTTGAATCAACATGGTGAACATTTCCTATATGCAATATTCCCAAAGTAACCTCCAAGATACAGCCTCAGTATTTTTCACTGAACCCTTCTAATATTCCTGATATTCCAAATACTTATTTACACAAATACTGACTGGCTTTCTTGTTCTGGAAGGTCTAGTCATGCACAGACAGAGCAGCACGAAAATCTGCATGCATCTGACACCCACACTTTTGTGTGCTGTAATGGCTAATTCTTCTTCAGGGCTTCTGGTTGAAATGGATCATTCAAGAATGAATTAAACATCAGCAGATGAAAGAGGACAAACAGTGGCTTTATATTTAGAGCTGTTTCTTTATGAGAACCATGGACTATCAGCCTAACCTACCTTACAGGGTTATTTTTGTGAGGATAACTTGAACGATGTGAGCCACCGTGGGTTCTTCACATAAGGAAAATAGGCTGGATATAAATGTAATGCAATGCAATAATAACAACAACATTAGCTATTAACATATTGACATTGAAGGCATGCCCTAGCGAATAGGGTTGGCAAATGGCTTCCTCCACCTTTGACAGGTAGAAGTCAGGTTTGGGCTTTTTTACCCCATCTTTTTTTTCCAAATGGTCTTAACTTTCATTTTGTATTTATTATTGCTTGCATTTCTGTCCCATCCAATAGCCAAAATTGCCTGAACAGTTTGCTAAATCATGGCTAAGACTGCAAATTACTGAAGTACAATAAAATCTAAAACAAAACAGCAACCAGAATAAAACATGGATTAAGTTAACAGGAAAGGACAACAGAAGTGCAAAGAGCTAAACTTCTCTTTTTCAAAAGTGAAACAGTAAACATGAAACAAAACAAAATCAAACCATTCAAAAGTTTTCACCTGACATCAAAAAGAACAAAATGCATTCCACGGCCAACACAGTTTGTGGCTTTTTGGTGCCATTGGGCTCCAAATAATACGGGCCTGGATTACTCACCACTGGGTGTGCACAGAGGTGCGCACTACAGTATAAAAGTTAATGCGGATCTGAAGCATGCGTAATTCTCAATTTTCCTACACAAGAATGGTAGGCGTATGTGAACAATGTGTGTCTTACTGTGTACGTATGATTCACATATGCTGAAGGCTCTGCACTGGTTGCCAACTCAACTTAGCCATGCTCCAGGCAGCTCATGATCATGTTACCCAAGAACTCACTTTCTCTCATACAAGCCTCCTTTATTCTGAAGGGGAGTGCTGCTTTGTGCCCCATGTCCCTTAAATGTACACTTTCTGAGGTGCGACAAAGGCACCCTCCCCCTTGTGGAATTATCTCCCCACTGAGTTCAGGTCAGTTCCCAGGCTGGAGTCCTTCTCTGGGAAACTTGTTTGCCTCCCCAAGTATTTCCAAACTGTGCACACTGCCAGAGTATTTTTAAGAGATGTCATTATTTCTCACTGTTTATTTTTGTACCATTTGGCTTTATAAAATTTTATCATGTTTTTATGTGAACTACATTACAATTTTTTAAAAAGCAGTACAGAAATCTGAAATCAGTAAATAGCCCCAATACAATAAGACTCCACAGTACTTTCAAGTGTTGGAGGGTTTATGAACACATTTGACTTCATTATTCTAGCTGTAATCATTACAATATCCCTGTAAGGTAATCAGTATTCTTATCTACCATATTGCTGGCAGGGAGATTAAAGGTGCAATTTATGCATATTTAAACAAAAGACCTGCCTCCCCATATTGGCTGGGGCATGCTGGGAGCTGTAGGCCTTTTAAGAATCTAAACATGCATCGGACTGCGCCCTAAGGCTGTGAGAGAATGGCTTACTTGAGGCAACTTTGTAAGTTCATAGCCTAGTTTAAATCGGGAACATAACAATCCATAGTTCAGTCTTTTAGATCATCCTTGTCACTGCTGAAAAAACAAAACAAAATGAAACAGCTGCCTTTGGCTCTCCAAGTGTCACCAAGCCAGCTGCAATTTCTTCAGGCTACCTGGATCTATTCCCATCCCAGCTGGCAGAATACCAGATATCTGAGCTTGCTTTTGTTCGTTCTCCTACCACATCTTTTTCCTTGATTGTCATATCCTTTAGACTGTTAGCCTAAATACTGATATTTGTAAGCAGTATTTGGGAGCCCTTTAACCTAAAACACAGGGGTAAAAATAATTTAAACAAATGAATTAGTCACTATGCTACAACAGCTCCGGTATTATCAGGGATGTCACTATCAAGTGAAAAATCCCTGCAATTACTCAGTAGATATTGGTTTTTATTATGCCCCCATAATGTACTTTCATCGTTACCAAAAAAGAAAGAGCAGTGATGGAGACAATGATGACAACAAACACATGGTCCCATCTAGTAAAAGAGATGCAGCTGCATGAAAGGTTTTCCAACAAAAAGTAGAGACACAATCTTTTGGGAAGTTTTCTATTCAATCTTCAATTAAATGAATGGGAGCTGTTACAAGAACCCTTACCGTTGGTAAGTGTTTTTTCTTGTGGCTGTGGCTTAATTTCACCAGGCAGGAACGCATTTTAAAACAAGTAATCACAGGAAAATTTCAGGGACCTCTCATTCAGTGTGACACTGTACCTGTAAAAATGGACCAAAATTGACCATGGACCACCAACTCAGCCTAACCTGTATCACCCTTTTAAGACATGGGGAAGGAACCTTTTTTTGTTGAGGGCCATATTCGCTCAAGGGAGTAATCAGTCAGAGGGCCTCATGCCAGCAGAGTGGCTCCAACATGGGTAGTACCACCCTTTCTCTCTCTTGTCACTCCCTTTCTCTTTCTCTAGCAGCCCCTTTCCCTCTCTCCCCCCCCCCCCCACCACTCAGTAGGCTCCTGGGAGAGGGGCAGACTGCATTTGCCAAAGGTCAGAGTTTTTCCTCACCTTCTTCCAGTACTCTCTGTATTCAACTCCACAATTATATTTTTCCTTCCCCAACCAGAGGATGAACTGATTTGGAGGTGAGGGCTCTTCTACCCTTCTTTCCATATAGTTCTGCCCTCCCTCCTTTATTTCTCCTCTTCTCTCTATCTGGGCTTTGTGCATTAAATTAGCTGAGGGTTGAATACAGCTTTTGCACTACAGGCTGGCTATCCCTGCTTTAAAGCAGTGCCTCATTTTAGGTTTACAGAATGTCATGCCTAAAAACAGTATTGTAGAATTATAGAAATAGTTTGTATATGTGTGCTTCCTGAACAGAAACAGAAGGATGGGTGGGAGAGAGAGAGGTAAACGATAGGAAAGTGAACAGAGTAACATTAAGAGTTGCTGTCAAAAGCCATGTTCTGTTGGATAGCTTTAGTACCAGATAACAATGATTCACACACTAAAAATAGTGTATTTCCATTTACAGATTAGTCTGGAAACAAAAGATCTATTTATGTGGTTTACACCTAAAAGAACAACAGTAGCATAATGGCATAACCTCCCATGGCTAACCTTTACTCATGTCAAGTGGTGAATTTGTCCTGTTTTTAGTATTTTTGAACAATGCATATTATCTGAACAATTCAAATTCTGTTGCACCTTTGGCTGGACACCCAAAGGTGAAATGATTGCACAGGATCACTTACTAATTGGCTCAAGGGCCAGCAGCCAAGTGAGCTCCTAGAGAAACTGGGAAACAATGCAATTCATTCATTCCGACATTCATTCTGTCATTCATTCTGTGAAAAAGGAGCAGTCTAAAAATAGCTTAAATGGGATGCAACTGTGAAATGTAATGCATAAAAAACAAGGTAGATTTCAAGATGTTGGTCAAATACTTAGCTAAAAGCTAAAACCCTGCATTATTCATATGTTGTGAGCACAGAAGAAGTCAGTGGTACAATAAATAATCTTGTGGTCAAACACATCATGGGCAGGGTGCATTCTTCATCAAAGTATTTTACTCTGGGTACAAAATGGTAAGAATAGCAAACAGAATCCCAACCCAAGACAGGAATAAAAACCCAGTGAAATTAGTTAACATGGAAATTATGGCCTTGTATTTAGGCTTTTGCTTGAAGTACATATTGGTCCTGGGAAAGCAGCTTGCTAGACCCACTCTGTGATCAGAAATGCAAAGAGGTACATATATGAACAGGCTAAATAAATGTTTGTATTGGCTGGTAAATATTCTGTATGACTCTGTATCAAAGAAAGTTGAGGAATTGCCATTTTTAAATCTTTCATTTAGCTTGTTAATTCAGTTGCAAATTTATTAGACCCTCTTTAGAGTTCCTATCTCATGCTTCTTGATCATTTTGGCTATTATATTGGTTACAATCTTAGTGTAAATGGAAACTACATAGGAAACCCCAACTGAATGTGTAGCAGCAGCAATTTAGTGCTTCAACCAGTAATTCTGTCCTTCAGCATCCTCACCTTACTGCAGCAGCCATGCTTCCAATAGGGTTTATTGGCAGTGGTCTAACTCCTGGGAAGATTCCTCTACTCAGGATGCGCGTTCCATTTTGTATCACTCCAGGAGGAACTGAAGACAAATTGCAAGGGGAGAGAAAAGAGAAAACAGGAACAATTAAATTATGTAGAATGTAGCAGTTTATATAAAAAAGAGCCACTGCTTCTGCATTCTTGGGAGGGAACAGTCAAAGGTGCAGGTGATGTTGCAACATGTAGCCATTAAAGCTTGTGCTAACATACTAAGAAAGCAAGAAGAATCTCTCTGATTCAAACCTCATCAAAGCAACATACTCACCTGGTGGCCCTAAAACAAGCTTCCTTCGTTAGGTTCACGGTGCAAACAGAGCAGAGAATAGATTTTGCATGGTTATGATCTAAGGTTCAGTCCCTGGCATTTCAAGTGAAAATTAAACTGCATAAAAAGCCTGGACAAACATCTACTTAAGCCCCCAGGTGTGCAATAAACTGTCTAGAGAGCTCCAGCTACTGGGAGGTATGGAAATCAATCAATTAACTAAGAAAGCCATTGTCAGTCATAAGAGATAATACTGGGTCTGCTAGAAAGACTGGTATTCTGAATGAGGAGGAGGAGCCTTTACAGGTTCTTTCATGCTGAGTGTCTTCCTGACAACAGAATCTACGCAGGTGCAGAGCCCCCATGTTTGATGCACAGAGACCACAAAGAACTAGTGGACACTTCTACTGGAAGGGGGGGGGCAAGGAGAAAAAGTTTTGCCAATTCTACCTTCCCCTTGCAACACCTCCCTCTCTAGTCCTGTGCCTCTTCCATCCACTTCCAATAGCAGTGGTCCATGAGAAAGGTTTTGTTTTATGGGAACTCTAGATCTAGCCCACTGTGTATTAAATATTTTGAAATACTTTAAAATATTTCAAATATGTTTGAAATATTGCATATACATAAGTATAGAATTATAAAACGAGAGATGTTTAATCCAATCAATATACACAGGTTGTGCAAAATATGCAAATAATTTTAAATTAAACTAAAAGTAAAAAAAATGATCCAACAAAATTTTACTGCTTCCTTCATTATGTTGTGAGCTGCCCAGAGAGCATATAGAAACAGAGCGAGCCAGAAGGGGCCTCCCGGGCCACCTAGTCTGACCCCCAGCTCCAGGGCAGCAAAGAAGACAGAAAGGCAGTCAGACAATTTACAGTGGCTCCTTAAAAACCCTAGGGTGCAATCCTATACATGTTTAGACAAGAAAAAAGTCCTACAACTCCAAGCATTGAATGCTGGGAGTTGCAGGATTTTTTCTGTCTAAACATGCGCCTTTAGCTGAATATTTAGGAAATGACTTGCAAAGCAGGGATATGAACCCATAGCAAGTACGCAGTGTTGCTTTCCATTCAAGTCATGTGTATTTAATATAGTAAACTTCATGAAAAACACAATGACTTGCATGAAATCCTTGTAGGTGCATCCTGTCTCAGCCCTTGAGGTATATAGGGTACAGGAGCAACACTTGCAAAGAATCCTATTTTCTGACTCTGGGCTCTATCCAACAGTAGTAGCTCTGCTGTGACAAAAAGTTGACATGGAGAAACCACTTTTTGTTAATCATCCCCTACCTACAGCTACCCTCTATACTATGTCATTTTGATATTGAGAGTTTTACAACTCTCAGGAGAAGCTTTGCAGGTACATGAACATGGCTGGAGAGATTTGCAAAAGTTAAGTGCACCATCTTGAACTGTCTCACCTGGTTCTTTCTAAAAGTGGTAAATCCATGAAGACTGATCAATGGGCAAACTGGGCATGAACCATCCCTAAAAATTAAGAGCCCTTAAAAGTAAGGGCTCTGCATTCCTGTATTCCTATACCTGCTCGCTTTGGAATAAGCTTCACTAAACTCAATGAGACTTACTTCAGAGTGGGCATGTATAGGATCATGCTGCTTAATAGCCAGGGAAAAGGCAAATATGTAGTATTTGACTTCTGGAGTAAAGTTCAAGGAAACACATGTACAACACTAATGGAAAACATTTAAAAGATCAGGAAATGAAGGCAACAGGTATGGATGACATTATAGAAGATGTGGTAAACACCATCCTCGGTACAGTGCTTTATAAATCCTGCTTACAAAATATAGAAACAAACTACGCAGCATGTCTACTTATCAAAAGTTCAAAATCTACCATACAACATCAATAGTCATAAGTAAGCCTATGTAACTTGAAGCCCACAAGTTAAATATAAACTTTCCTGTCAAAAGGGTACCCTCTTAACTCCTCCAACTTTGCCAAGTTATAGGTGAAGGGGGCTGTGGATGCCTGAATCTGGGGGAAGCCACTGCAGGTTGCAAGAGCTGAAGTGCTGCCCACCACACTTTATTGCCAAATGTCCCCCTAGGAAATTGGATTGCTGACCAGTGAATCAGGTAAACATTACAATATAGACACAGGGACAAAACATGGTAGAATGAAGCTTCATTCTGGGGTAATTGGTCACATATATTGACCTGATTCACAGGTAACTGCTGACCAGTGTGGGTGACTATCCTAGTAGTCATGTTGCACTGTTGTTAAGTGTGCCCCTGCTGGGTTGGGTTGCTGGAGTGGTTAACAAGCCATCCAGAATCCATGGCTTGTTTTAGGTTTGTGGATGGCTTGTTAACCACCCAAACAACCCATCCTGAGTTTGCAAGTAAGGTGATCCTGCCAAGCCTGAATTTTCAAAATGGCAGCTGGCACAAGAGGCCCCAGGAGGAAATTCACTCACAGCGGCTTCTCATTACATGTGAACTGTCTTGTTGACTCTGGCATTACCTGGTTGCAACCCTTATCAAATTTTGAATACCAAAAGTGTTGAACACTCTCACCTTCCTCTTCTTATTCTCTCCTTCATCACATTTTCTTAGAGCAAAAACTCTTTACTATTGTTATGCCTATAAAGCATGATGTACAATAACAGAATGCCAGTAACAGCCATGTTTTACTCTGACAAGTAGACTTCTCCACCATCCATTACTTGGACTACAGTGTCACCACAGATGTTCAGATAAATATTATTTATCTCATAGTAAAAAGTTGAGATTTAAATTCTAAAATTGGAGATCAAATTATTTACAAATTACTAAGGAGAGGCACTCAGATGAGAAAAACCTACTGGTAGTGAGAGAGATCTGCTACAGCCACATTGAACAGGACCATGGAGGAGTAGCTCCTACATGTCTTAGTGCGTGAGAAAAGATTTTGATAACAAAATGTAAGGTGAATTTTCAAGAAACCTAAAGGTATCCAACCATATATGGCTAGTTTTTCTACACAGGAAAGTATGTCAGATAAAACAGGAGATACAACTTTTGGAAATTCTGGTCATCAGGACACCAAGATGGTATTTGGCTAAAGATCAGAAAGAACAAACAAGTGTTATAATGTAAAAATGAAACTCTGCTTAGAAAAGGGTGTTTAAAATTCAGAACTATGGTTAAGGTGATGAATTTAATTATCTCACATTTCGCTTGCAAAATAGGTACTTGTGTTTCAGACACCTGCTTCAAAACTAGTTGCAGGTCACGCTGAAATGATTTCAAGGTTTTACACAAGGTTTATTTGTTCATTTTTTCTTTGCCTCCTGATCCCACCATCACCCCAGGTCCTCAAGACACCATACAGGATAACCACCAAAAACAGATCAACAAAGCCATCCATAATTTGCAACCAGTAGAATAAAAAGTGATAGCTAAAAATCTTAAAACAAATAAAAAACCAAGAATAAAACTGCAGAAGTCAGCATATTGGCTAGGAATCCTATTTGAAGCTATGGCTAATTTAAAAGCAACAGCAAATGATTGCATATGCCCTGAAAGACAAAGTGATAATCATCTTCATAGAACCTAAGCTCTTCATCATGGCCCAATCCCTTCCCTCATTCTGAATTACAGGCAGAACAACAGCATATGATGTTTACAATAAATGTCAATCTAAAACTGTAGCCTGATGTTATGGGGGAAGATGGATGCTGCTCATCCTCCATGCTTCTCCCCGGTGATACATAGAAGGAAAAAAGTAGAATTGCACTTCTTCTACCAGGCATTATTGGGGAGATAAAAGAATCAGCCACTTATTACCATATTGTTAGGTCATTACAATCCATTTTCTAGCACCTGATACTTGCACACCCATAACCTTCATGAACTATTGGTCCACAATGTAAGCAAAGAGTTGCAGATTCAATGTGGCAGATTCAACTTACATGGATATCATGAAAATTTTTCATTTTTCTTGAAAAAACATCCTTTGTCTTTTTTTTTTTTAGAAAAAAATATTTTCAAGCCCACTGAGCATTTGGGGTTTTGATAATATTTCTAGCAGATGCTTTACAATGCAAGGATACCATCAAACAAGAGAAATAATTTTAGAGGAAGTGGAGTTAGCTCAAAGAAAGCCCAATAAATCTATTTGTGAGCATTCTATGTGCTCGCTTCCATGCTGAAGTGTCGCCTCTGAGGCTCAGCTTCACGATGCTCAAATTGAAATGGACATCAAATGCCCAGGGCTGCTGCTGAACTGTGTGCCACTTTTGCACCAATGACATTTGCTTTGTGCAGGTGTAGATGTAATATTCTTGATCACAAAACCATAGTTAAGACAATTGGGAGGTAGTGGAGAGATCAGATCCTCCCCATTACCCATTATTTCCATTTTGCAACATGAATTTCTGTATATTTAATATATCTGCATGGGCTGTAGCTATGGTTAGAATTACCTAAAGTTCCCCATTAACCCAGAGTCTGACGCCAACTTTAGGCCATTGGGTTTGTACAAACTCTAATCGAGGGGTTGGCATTCTACCTATGAGCCTCTGTGACTCTAAGCAAAGCCCCAGGGTTGCACACTCACTTTGCCTTCTCCTCTCATCCAATGAGGAAGAAAAGTAAGCTATTATTCAGAATCACTTTCCCTATCTCTGCATAAGAACGTTTTTATCTTTTATTTACAACATAGTCTGCAGCCTCTCAAGAATTCAGCCACATGGTTGCCCATTTTCATACTGTATCTGCGTTTCACATTTGTTGATGTCTCACTGTTCCACTTGTCCTTTTC